GTGTTCTTTCTCTCATTTTAGTCTATCCAAATGCACGATGCCATGTAACCCAAATGGACCATGCCGGGTCGGGTCAAGTATATACCAATTATAGTTATGGACTTAGACACTAATCCAACAGGATCACAAGTTCATCCTGAAAAATATGGATATGTATCATATTAACTCCATTTCTGAAATTCTAACAAATTAAACATGGTCCTGTGTTTTTGGAATAAATTACCGTACACACCCACCCTCAATAGTCTCCTAGAAGTGCAGCTTTTGTGTCAACAGTTGTTTGCAGAATGACAATCTCTTCTCACTAATTTACATGATTACATGAGTAATCAAGACTTAATACATGATCCTCAAGTAAATTAACACAAGAAATTAGTTAACAAGATTTATATTGTGTGTATACCACTCTCTTCTTGAGTTCTTGCTTTGATTTTTCCTTTTGAATCTTGAGTTCTTTTTTTTGTTATTTCATATTCTTGTTGTTGCAGAGATTTGGCTGAGGCTTCCATTTGAGGTAATCTGTGATTCCATGAATCCATCTGTCACACCCCCAAACCAAGGATGGCGGAAATGTCCGGGGGTGGAGGACTTCATGTATAGTATCACAACAACGAATATAATAGTGCTCAAAGTAAATACAACCATCATAAATATAATTGAAAAGATTACACCATGGAATAAGTTTACATGTTTCAAAATCAATTACATTATGATGACAAAATGAAACGTTTGACGATTTATTGTCCCATCCTCAAAATGCTGTTGGTTTTCCTGTTTCACTGATTTCCTGAGAATACAAGTAGTTTTGAAAAAGTGTCAACAATTAAGTTGGTGAGTTCATAAAGTTTTGTTGAGAAAGAAACCATTTCCTTGTAAAAGCGACAAAGTATGTTTCCAGAAAATCCAATATTTTCTTTATTAAGTGAAATTAATGCTTCTATGTTATGCGATAATGAACCCTAGAGGGACCCATAGATTCCTTCTATAATCGCCCAGTGTATATAAGTTATATAAAATTTAAGTTAAATAAACCGTCGAATATAATGGGTCTGCCCTAGGTCCACAACCAAACAAGGAACAGGAAGTAAGGCGGGCCCACCAATTCTAAGTCGATTGTGACTAGATTCTTATATAACTCTATCATATACACTTAGCAATTATAGCTGAAGTCTAACAATTTTAGATGAAATATAGTTTTAACAGAGATATGATTCCAAAGAAAATCCTATATTTTCCTTATAAATGTTATGTGGTCCTAAATCCCAGGACCGAAAATAAACAAGCATTTTCCATACTTAAAGATATAAAAGTGGTTTTAAATCGACATAAAACCCTTTTTGATTTGGAACTATTTTCTTTATTAAGTGAAATGAATGCTTCTATGTTATGCGATAATGAACCCTAGAACGACCCATAGATTCCTTCTATAATCGTCCAGTGTATATAAGTTATATAAAATTTAAGTTAAATAAACCGTCGAATATAATGGGTTTGCCCTAGGTCCACAACCAAACAAGGAACAGGAAGTAAGGCGGGCCCACCAATTCTAAGTCGATTGTGACTAGATTCTTATATAACCCTATCATATACACTTAGCAATTATAGCTGAAGTCTAACAATTCTAGATGAAATATAGTTTTAACAGAGATATGATTCCAAAGAAAATCCTATATTTTCCTTATAAATGTTATGTGGTCCTAAATCCCAGGACCGAAAATAAACAAGCATTTTCCATACTTAAAGATATAAAAGCGATTTTAAATCGGCATAAAACCCTTTTTAAAGTTAGGTAGTCCTAAATCCCAGGACCGAAAACAAGTATTTTTCCATACTTAAAGTAGATCATGTGAGTTAAATCGACATAACTCGCTAATTAAAAGTAAGAACCCGTAAATCTTATGATTTGTTAATACCACATGTGAGTTATTATAACCATACTATGACTCAGACGGCCTCGTAATACGACGTTCTTCAGGCGTCACAAGTTAAATGACACTTGTCACCACAGACCTGCCGGTCTAGCTGTTGCATGCAGCTCAGGTGTGGGTTTGTCAGACCCAATATAGATCTATACACAACTATCACGTTCTCCCTACAAGAGACTCTGGTTACAATTTACAGGACTTTTGACTTTGTTACCATGAAGGTAACACGAAGCGAATGTCTCACAAATTTATTCATTAACAGATTTACGTGAACTTAACTGAAAACCTTTGGTAAATGAGTTTGAAATGTAAATGATACATAAACTATACCTATTATAGTTTCCAAAATGTTTGTACTAAAAAAGAACTCTTTTATGAAAATACCTTAGTGTTATGAATCCATAAACTATGCTTATTATAGCTTATTATATGTGCTCGAAATGAATGAAGAATCTTATCATGAATGAATAAATTTCAATTTATGATGATAAACTAACAAGAAATTACATTCAATATTTAGAACTTATTGTTATACATTTTGCTGAACATAATACAAAGTGTTATGAAAGTTATAAGCTGTTAACTAGTTTTTAAGCTTTCTGCACTGTTTTAGAAAAATCATAGAAAAATCATACGAAGTCGAAAACTGAATCCGTAAATTTTGAGAGTTCATAAAATGTGTCTAGTTTTTCCATAATTTTTATTATGATTTTTGGAAGTTTTAACTTGTGTTAAAATGTTCATATTCACAGACTGGTCCGAATTCGTTTTTGAAATGATAGGCAGTTTTGTAAAAATCGCCATAAATCGTAGAAAAATCGTATAGTGATGTGCAAGTAGTCATTTTAAAGGTAGGAACCTGAACTATTTGCAACTAATACAGTTTTGAAAACTAAAATGTTTAAGTTGAGCAAAACAGTCCGTGAATGGAGTTGAACTTTTCTGATGAAGGCTGTTAAATGAGTTTAGTTGTGTTCTTGGTGTTTTAACTTGTATTCTCCCATTAAAACTTAAGAAAAACATGAAAAGATAGGGGTATGAAGTCACCTTGAGTGATTTCAGTAGATGGAGGATGGACAAAAAAGAAGTGTTCAACTCAAAAACACTTAGAAGATGCTTGATGATTCGAAGATCTAACAACAAATATGACGATATTTGTGTAAGGAACTCATGATTTGAGTGGAGAAGTGTAAGGAAATCAAGTGTGGGAAGAGATTTACTTACCAAGGTAGATGAAGAACTTGAAAATCAGCCTTGAAATCTCGAAATCTAGAGAGAGAAGTGAGAGAGAATGAGTTTTTGCTTTTAGTGAAGTATGAGTGAATGGGAGGAGAGATAAGGGTTTTCCTACCCTTGAGTCAAAGCATTTGGTTGGAAAGAGGGGGAAAAAAGACAATGAAATGACCAGGTATGGTGGAGGGTGTGGGCTGGTCATGGAGTGGGTGTGGGTGGTTGCTTGTGTCATAAACTAAAGTAAAGTCAACACTCCACCTCAAGTACTTCACCCACTCTCCTTGGATAAGACTTACACTAAAAAACGTGATTATTCATGAAGTATGGGGTTTTATATGTTAAAATATGATTTTGGGTGAAAACCCCACGTTAAAATAATTAAAATCGGGCTTAGAACGCAAAACTAGTCGAAAATCGGGAAGAAAAAGGCTTCCTGCGAAGTTGCTCGGATAGGGCCGAAGTTCGGTCCCTTCTGCTATGGACCCGAAGGCGAAATAGACCGAAGGTGATATGGGCCGAAGGCGAAGGTCAGGAGCGAAGGCGAGGTTCGGGTTCGGGGTCAGCAGGCTTCGGTTCGGCTCAGCAGCTTCGGTCCGAGAAGGTTCGGTCCTTATGGGTTTCGCTTCTTAGAGTTTCGGCCCTAAGAAGGTTCGGTCCTATTTGGCTGATTTTCGCATAAACTCCCCGTTTTGCGCAGTTTTTCACCAAGTTAAGTGTCGGGATGCCCAAAATGATTATAAAAAGTTAAAGGAACTTTTGAGAGAGATTTGGGAGAGATTTCACACACTTGGAGAGATTTCTCATACTTGGAGAGATTTGGGAGAGATTTCACATTCTTGGAGAGATTTCTCATACAGAGAGAGATTTGGGAGAGATTTCACATTCTTGGAGAGATTTCGCATACAGAGAGAGATTTGGGAGAGATTTCACATACTTGGAGAGATTTCTCCTACTTAGAGAGATTTGGGAGAGTTAGAGTGAAAGAGATTGGGAGAGACTTCTTTTGTGACCTTTTTGAGTGTTTAGCTCTGTAACGCAAGGTTTGTAAACCTCGTTAAGTCTTGTTATAATTGTTATATGCGCCCGAGGGTTAAGGAATAATGTTTTATCGAGTAGAGTCGTCACTTACCCTGATTAGGGTTTAGAATTTCCGAACACGTGAAAACTCTAAGTGATAATTTGTATGAGGATTGCGAGTTGTACAATAAGAAACATAATGGAAACCCTAATGTACAAGGGTTAGATGAGTTGACCGGTTTGACTTGTTGACTTTAGTTGACTTTGACTTGGCCAAAAATTGACGGTTGTCACACCATCGTTTTCTTTGAAAGGGGGATTCGTGTTATTCATTGTGTACTAATTTGAATTGAATCTATATCTTAAATTCATGTTCTCATTGTTACGCGAATTAATAATTTCATTTCCTGGAACACCTTGTAAAAACTTCCAGTGGATTTGTTTCTATTGCCATATATGGAGATCAAGAGAAGCCAATTCTTATTACATATCCAGATTTAGCTTTAAATCGTAAGTGATTCTGTTCATTCGTTAATCAACAAAATTTGTTGAAAATAAATGAAATCTTGCTTATTTGTTTGCATGTTTGAACATATATGTAATGTTTCCAAGGTCTTTTCTTATGCCCTGAAGCATTTTCTTTACTGATTCATAATATCTGCATTTACCATATTAGCCCCCCGGCCATGAGGTCAGCAATCAAAACTTCATTTTTATTTTTTATTATTCTTTTTTAAATATATAAACAATTCAATAGTAAAACAATTTGTATTCCTATCTTATTTTATACATCTTTAAGAGCTTTTGCAGTTGGGAGCTGCAGCAATGTCATATAATGATCCATTGTTATCTGTTGATGACTTAGCTGATCAGGTTGCTGAGGTTCTTGACTATTTTGGGTAATTTTATATTTTTTTAGTTTTTCAACTAATAATTTGAATATAAAGAGTCTTTTTTATTTTTATTTTTCTGATGAATTTATTTTGCAGACGTGGTGTTGTTATGTGCACGGGAGTAACAATTGGTGCATATGTACTCACCTTGTTTGCTGTAAGGCAAATCCTTTTTGTTTTATATATATTTCCAAAATTTATTTAAATTCTTAATTTGGATGGTTTAATTAGTCTTTTTACATACTTTGTATAACATATAAAATATAACACGACATGTGCTTGGACTCATCCTTGTTTCTCCTTTATGCAAAACTCCTTCATGGACAGAAAGGTTGTGTAACAAGGTTAATTCTCAATGTTTTAAACTTATGTTCTCACCATACATTCAAAATAGATTGTTTTCATACCAATAGTGATGCTCATGTGGTTGGTAGATCTGAAGATGGGCGTCTCTTTTTTTGGGATCTGGTGGATACATTTGTGGTTTTAAGTTTCCAAGCTCACTCCTTGTTGGTAAGAGATTCATTTGAATTTTTTTTATAGAATCACATGTGATTCACATGTAATTCACATGAAAATCACATGTAATTCACATATGAATAACATGTAATTCACATATGAATCTCACGTAAATCACAATTACACATGATTCACGTGTAAATCACATATGAATCACATGTGATTCACATGTAAATCAAATATGAATCACATGTGATTCACATGTAAATCACAATTACACGTGATTCACATGTAAATCACATGTAATTCACATATGAATAACCTGCAATTCATAGGGCTGGCAAATATGTACCACGGAGAACCAACCAACATGTTACCAACCGAACCAATAAAATCGGTAGCCAAGTTGTTTGGTAACCAATATGTTTGGCTGGTAATACCATGCCAATTAAGTAGTATTGGTACGGTAACGGTATAAAATTTTGAATACCATGGTTGTATCGTACCAACCAATTCATATATATATATATATATATATATATATATATATATATATCAATTAATAAAAATAAAGAAATATTAGTTCTCATATCTGCATGTTTTAATTAGAATAAAAAATAAAAAGTCTTGGAATTAATAAACTAACACTTTGATTAACAAATTTCTTGATACTTATTTTTTGAAGAGCACGAAATGGGTGATACAAAAGCACATGACGCTAAAACTCAAAAGGAATACTAACTTCTCATTCCTTGTATTGTTTCCATTTGCTTCCTCAAGCAACTTGTTAGAGGTGGGTCTCTTTTAATCCTTTTAGTCGTTTCCAAAAGATAAAATACTAACACAAGCAAGTGAAGCAACGACCAACTGCCCACAAATTCAACTCATATTCACGTATAGGTATATATTAGTTAAAATTTTTGGTATATACCAAATACCAATATGTACCAACCAAATTTGTTGGCAGCCAAATTAGTTGGTACCAAGTATGCTTGGTACGGTACTGGTAAGTAAATTCTTATGCCAACTATAGTTGGTACGGTACACGGTTTGGAGAAAAAAAACTTGGTACCGTACCAATTCCACCCCTAGCAATTCACATGTAAATCACAAGTTGGTCACATATGATTCACATGTAAATCACATTTACACGTGATTCACATGTAAATCACATGTAATTCACAAGTGATTCACACGTAAATCACATGCGATTCACATGTAAATCATATGTGATTCACATGTAAATCACATGTGATTCATATGTGAATCGCATGTGATTTATATATGATGTCATATGTAAATGTGATTCATATATGAATCGCATATGATTCATATGTGAATCGCATGTGATTCATATGTTAATCACATGAAAATCACATATGTATTTTTGTGAGTGTTTTTGCATCAATCATTTTGTTTTTTTATTTTCTTGTAGATTTGGAAGAAATTGTGGTGAATATTGAAGAGGTGAAAAATGATAAATTGAAGAAAATAAGGAAATATTGACACGAAGACATGAAAACGCTTTGAAATTTGTAGCATTTTTTATTTTTTATATTTTATTTTGTACCGAATAAAATACTTGTACTATTATGTTTATAAATTAATTAATAAAAATGAGATTTTTTGTGATTTACTTACGAATATTATAGTATAAAAAATATATAGATAAAAATATGCATTATGAAAAAATATGCATATATGCACCTAAAAATTTACTTTTAAAAAAAAAAATCATGTTTTCTATAAAAAATTAAAAAATCTGCATTAAAAAAACGAAAAATGCTATATTGAAAAAAATCTGAAAATTTGATTTATGATGTAAATTTTTAGACATTTATATTAATATATTAAATAACACAAAAAAATTAAACATTAAATGAGATTGGTAAGATGACGATCATGTCCTTAATGAATTACTTTTGATCCAACGCTCCACTTTTAGTTCTCGGGTTCTCGGGAAAATATAAATTGTCAACCGATCTCACCCCTATATAATATATATTATTATATATATATATAATATATAGATATATATATATATATATATATATATATTATATATATATCTATATAAGAACCATTCCATACAATTTTTTAAAATTAATATTAATATAAATAAAAAAATAAGTTAAAAAAATTAAGAAACCCACCACCACTTAAAATGGACATAGTTTATAGGATGCCATTCGAATGAAATAAATAAGAACAAAGTCACCACCACCACCACCACCACTACCACTTAAAATGGACATAGTTTATAGGATGCCATTCGAATTAAATAAATAAGAACAAAGTCATGTATGTTTGCCATAAGATATAGTTGATTATTTTAGTCAAATTTGGAGATTAAAGGGAAATGTTGTTTGTTTCTTCTTAAGTAGTCAATATCTTAATGCGTGTTTATATAGACAAAAAATATTAAAAAAATGGGTTAGGATTTTTGCCACTTGGAATAACATTTTGTATATTATGCATGCATTATAGTGCTTGTTAATTTATTATTTAAATTCCAGATGGATCGTAATACTTGGATGTATGAAATATCACGTGCTAGCAAAAGATATTTGGCAAGTTTGCTTGATTTTCTTAAAGTAGCTGAGGATGATCGAAAGAATAAAGGAAAAAGTCACATCTGGTGTCCTTGTGAAAAGTGTCAAAATTGTCATAAGTTTAACGATTTTGCAATAATACAAGAACATCTAATATGTGAGGGGTTTATGAGTGGGTATACACGATGGTCACGACATGGTGAACTGTTAATTGATCATGATACAGTTGTTCCAAAGTGTAGTCATGATGAGGCTGGTGATTATTTGGATAGTGAGAGTTGTGATGGTTTAGATGACATGTTGCATGATCTGGAGGATAATGTTGCGGAAAAAGATCATCAAAAATTCCAACAGTTGTTTGAAGACAAAGTGGATTTGGAAATTGAATTTGATGAGCTAGGCAAAAATATCGGAGCTACCCAATCTCATTTTAGCAATTATTGTGGAGTCATGGTAAGGACGAGGATTTCAATCGTCATATTGCGTTGGGATGAAGTTCCTAAGGCTGAAATCGATGAACTGTGGTTAAACATTAAGGTATTTGTGTGAGCCTGTTAATTATACTTTCATTTAATTCATACATTCATTTATATATATATATATATATATAATATATATATATATATATATATATATATATAGGGAAAAGTTCAAAGAGAACCATAATTATTGGTTCTTCAAGGAACCAAATCTTTTTTTCAATTTCTAGAGTTTATTATTTATCGAAAAAAAAATCTAAAAATATCTAAATTCATAGATTAACATTGTGAATGTGAAAATTATTTTTCGGATTCACCGTTTGAATCCGGATTCACATTGTGAATTTTCAAAGATTCACATTGTGAATTTGACGTAAAAAAAATTCGAATTTGATATTATTGGAAAAAGGATAAAAAGTAATGAATTTCTGTATTTTTAGTTTTTTTTTTGATAAAAATAAGTTCTAAAAGTTGAAAAAAGATTGGTTCCTTGGTTAATTATGGTTCTCTATTGAACCTCACCATATATATATATTATATATATATATATATATATATATATATATATATATATATATATATATATCTATTACTAATATTTATTGTACTTTATTGTAAAAAAAAACAGAAACATTGGAATATAGAAGATGATAGGCACAAAAAGCAGGTACTAAAAATTTGCAATCAGTCATGGAAGGCTTACAAGAGCAGCCTTGTTACCGAATACCTAAAGAAGGGCAGAAATCCAGTACCTGAATATCCATACCTAGACGAGCCTACATGGAATGCTTTTGTTCAACTCAAAACATCACCGAGCTTCCAGGTTTGGCTCACTTTATCCCTATTTATATGATAATACTATGTTGTAGTGTTTCTAATTCTGCTACTTACTTCTTTCCAGGAAATAAGCAGCAAAGCTACAGAGACTGCAAAGTTGAACAAGTATCCGCCTCGGATAGGCCCACGTGGTTATCGTGGTATGAAACCTCAATGGGAAAAAGAGATGGAGTCTTGTGAGTCAACAAAGTTCCATAATATAAGAAGTGAACGTGCAAGGAATTTTATCCTTGCTAGGTTAAAACGTGATCCCACAGGAATATACTCGTTACCTACTGATCTCTACTCCTTGGCATCTGAATTGGTAAGTTAACTATTTATTTTGTAATGTTATCATTTATTTTAAAACTATTTAGGATTTAATTACCCTTGCAATTTTATTTGGACTAATAGATTGAAAAAGATACTCAATTATCTCACGGAGATTGGTTTCCTGGACCTGGAGCCGATGTGCTTACAGAGGTGTTAGGACCCGAGCATCCAGGTCATACGAGGGCTGTTGGGCACAATGTTGGCTTGAGACAATCCATGCCTAGGGTTGATAAGAAAAAAAGGAAGAGCCATGATAAATATTGTAACACCCTTAAAATTCAAGCCAATTTAAAACTTTTTAGAACATTTAAAACCATTAAGTTATTACAATTTGTTTTCAAAATAGTTTAATCATCAGAGTATCCCCATAATCAAATCGTAAAATCATGAACTATGAGGAGCTGTACGATCACGCCTTTTCCTTGCCACGATCCCCTGATGCACCTGAAACAATAAACTGAAACTGTAAGCCCGAAAGCTTCGTGAGTTCCCCCAAAATACCCATATCCACAACAACACACACATAATCATAAACAGCATACTATGGGTCCAATCAACCATCGGGTTGGAATACCCCAGGCCCTCAACCAATAGGTTGGAATGCCAACACACTATGGGTCCAATCAACCATCAGGTTGGAATACCCTAGGCCCTCAACCAACAGGTTGGAATGCCAACACACTATGGGTCCAATCAACCATCAGGTTGGAATACCCCAGGCCCACAACCAACAGGTTGGAATGCCCAGGTCTATTGGCTTTCGCACAAAGCAGATAAGCCTCAACCGCCAAACAAACATGTGCACGTATAACAGATAATCACATAACAGTCTATAGACAATACTTGATCTAACGGATCATACCACATAGCACATAACACCATCCCATCTACCAGGATACCGATCTAACATATCATACCACATATCATATAATATTATCCTACCCTCTAGGATACCGATCTAACAGATCATTCTAGCATAACATAACCATATAACAATTCAAAGGGCCGACCTTGGTGCCTTAGACCCTTGAGTATAGTGAGGATAACTCACTTGGCACTGCTGAAGTCCCGCGGATACAACTCCAGCTGTTGGTTGACAGATTCCCGAACTGTCAACATCAAACAATACCCAATTAGTAATTGGGTTCCAAGCCCAAGGTCCAACTCACACTCCAAAGGCCCAATAGTCAAATAATGGGCTAAAGCCCAACATATGGCCCAATTTTCCAAATTGGGCCCAGACCTCTACATGGTCTTCCTTAAGGTCCATTTGATTATTCCAATCCAATTCCCATGGCCCATTATCACATAGTCATAAAGTCTCAATTATGGCCCAATCCTCCAAATTGGGCCCAAGTCCTCACATGGGCCTTATCCTAAAGCCCATCTACTTATTTTGGTCCACTAACTTGTTCTTGGACAACCCATCAGTAGTCCAATCGCCAAAACCCACTAGGAAGGCCCAACTCAAGGCCCATGTGAAATTAGGGTTTCACATAAAATGACAATTAGGGTTAAGTGTTTCTCACTTAACCCATTAAGGACTTAATCCATTAAGACCCTCACTTTACTAAATAAGTCATATGGTGTGATTGGGCTTAATACACAATTCCATTCCAATGGCCCAAATGTGGGTCCCGATAAGTCCAAGCCTATAATCCTAAAATTAGGGTTTTATTGGCATTAGGGTTTTCCAAACCCTAATTAGGGTTTCCAACCCAAATACTAGCCCATTTATTGGTTTGTTGGGCTTTTAGGTCAATTAGGGCTTTATTGGGCCTAGTAGACACTATTAGCCACATTAGGTTTTTGAGTGCACACTGAGAAGTGCACAACAGGGGTACGGGCACGGGAAATGGCTGTGTTGTAGGCGGCTTACAAGGCCAGGCACACCCGTCCTCAACAAGGCAAGCAAACCGCCACGACACGGTGCACGGCACACCACCTAACGGTGGTGACGAATTACATACGTAACAATTACAACGCCAACGCGCACACACACACACTAGGCTAAACACAACACACCCAATGTGGCTCATGGGGCAGCCACCACCTCAGTGTGGCAATGGCTGTTCTTCGGTGTCGGCTAGACAACACCCAAACACCACATAACTGCAAAAGACACACACACTCCTGCATTTTCTGTTGTAAAACGAACTCAGTCACCCCATAGTGGCGCACGACGGCGATAGCAGGAGGCTGGGTACCGGCAGGCGGTGCCTTGTGATGACAGCCAACCCCCGTGATGCACAGTGACGGTAGCAGGAGCACCATCGGTGACAGCAACGACTCATACGGCAGCAGCGTTTCGCGATGAAAGCCACCACCTCACGGTGGTGGCGACGGTTGTTTCTTGATTCACTGCCCGGAAATACTTCACCCACGCGAGAGATGACGTGATTCTGATTCTGCAGCCCCCAACCACCAGCTGTGGTGACGCTACGATGGCGAGACGGAGGAGCAAGGCAGCGGTCTCCAACGTCGTTTGAAGGTTTGGTCTCGGCAGTCCAAAACCTCCGACAACAGCGATGTGGCGGCGTCCTGCGACTTGCAACCTCGACGGAGGTGGTTGCGGCTTGAATGAAAAAGGGAAGTGGCACAGGAGATCGGAGGAGAGGAGGGTGGCGGCTGGATGGTGGTAGAGGGGTGACGACTGCATCATAACCCATTTAGGGTTAGGGTTTGAGAGGGTAGCGGGTTTTATATCCCGACTCCCTTATAACATTTTCCCATAACGACGGAAATAGCCCCTCCATCATATTTTCCCTTCAATTTAGACCCAAATGTTACCAAATGGCCCTTCCTATACAAAACCCTTTTCAAGTCAGGTCGAGAACTTACCATTTAGTCCCCGCCCCCAAGAATCTTTTCAATATAAGTCCAAATGATACCAAAACACCCGTGAGTTCTAGAATCCTTTGCAAAATAAATCCCGAGATTACACTTTTAACCTTTGGAAGTTCAAATCTTGTCATTTGGCTTCCCGAAACCAACTCCCAACTAATTATTGTTTGGTTTTGGATTATTATAATATTAAATAATAAAATAAGTACTTCTCGGGGTCCCCGGGTTTATCATTAATTTTCTATTTTAACGGGAGGTTAACAACTCTCTCCCACTTAAATTTGATTTCGTCCTCGAAATCGTTTCTTATTATCCCTTACACGCCAGACAACTTGAGCAACACGGCCACAACTACGAGCATAACCCCAACCTTTCCAGGCAACCGTAACCAACCCTCACCGGGTTCTAAAACCTGAAAATAAACGAATCCCTTGCAATATAATCACATTTACTCAATCCGAGTCTATAATCTCGAGCTGGTCCGTCTCCTTGACAGATCGCCCACTCTGAATCCTTGTCAACTTCGTTGCACTTAGCTCCTAACTGGCTACTCAACTCCAGATGACCTGAGGCACTCACCAGAAAGCATAAACCCATTCACACACGACTATATACTCCTTTCTTGACAAGAGATTAGGTACTCCTTTCAAGAGAAGCCCGTTTGATAACCAATTCCCAAGGTTATAATGAACAATGGAATGTAAACTGGGAGATGAACCCTTTTTGGATCAACATAACAATGTTTCATTTGGTTCCTGAATCACATACACCTAATGACCGACTCATAAGCTCAAACACTCATACCTGGCCCAATCAGCCTTGGCTGGAATACCAGGCATGTCCACGACGGGTCCAGTCATCCCCAGGATGGAAATACCCTATCAACACATGTTTGGGTCCAATCAACCTCGGGTTGGAATACCAAACACGTCGGTCCACTCAATCGTAGGGTCCGGTCATCCTCACGATGGAATACCCTAGATTGGAATACCACTATATTAATCACTCGGGTCTAAACCATAACTTGAAATCCAAGGACCTATCCTTGCATCTCATCCAAAAATCATCTGATTCGCCACAACCGAGTAGCACTCATCTGAAATACCGGGTTCCGGCCCGGTCGCGGAGCTAAAGGTCTCCCACATAGTTGCCTCACAACGCCTTCCGAACGAAATCCTTCCCTGGAACTATTGTTGGATTAATGTCTAAGTCCATAACTATAATTGGTAAGACTTGACCCGACCCGGCATGGTCCATTTGGGTTGCATGGCATCATGCATTTGGATAGACTATAATGAGAGAAATAACACTTAAGGTTGGTTAATATATTATAAGTTCTAATATATTAACAAGATTATTTAATTAGTATTGATCAAGAATTAATCTAGTATTAATTAAGTGATCAAAAGAAGACTATTTAAATATATGGGTTGATTGTGTAAATCATCCATACTTATATAGTGGGCTAATGCTCCATGGATTGTCAAGTTGGGCTAAAACCCATAAGATTCTCCATGGATGCTCCATGGTGTATTTGTACCCATGGATCATGGAAATGAAAGGCCATGACAATTAGGGTTTACATGGTGTAACCCTAAATATATAATGATCTTATTCTTGGAGAAAAACGGCCACTATGTGTGATAGAAAGGGCTAGCCGATTTGATGAAGTGTTCCAATTCTCTCAAGTTATTCCAAGTGTATTTGGTGTTGTGTGAACCATTTGGGGTGTCACACTTGGGGCACTAGGTACTCAAGCTTCATGAAGTCATTCTACATCAAAGAGGTATGTAATTCTAACTTGATATATTCATATGAATCAATGTTATTATGCTAGTTAGGATGAATACCTTGGAAAGTTCATATTTGCATGTATAATAGAGAAAACATAGATCCAAGGTATTAAGGGTTGCATGTACACTTAGGAGTGTTAGAATGCTCAAAACCCAACAGTGGTATCAGAGCCTAGGCTTGTTTTCAATTATACTTGATGCAAAGTGCTGAAAAATGCTGAAAAAGTCGATTTTCGGGCTGTCAGGGCACTGGACTCGCCGAGTCCATGAAGAAAATCATCCTACTCGTCGATTAGGTTCATACACTCGACGAGTAGGAGCCCCTGACAGCATATCTTCGAGTTTTTTGGCTAGAAATGGACTAGGAACATTACCATAAGCTGTTTTTGAACCTATAAACCTGTTTTTGATGTGGTAATGTTCATTCTAATCCAATTTCAAAGATAATTGTCAATAGATTCACGTTTTGTATTAGTTTAATGGTTAGTCTAATTACATGAAAAAGTTTGATTAAATTATCTTGTTCTTATGAGTTGCTTAGATTAATAGAAAAATTATTAGAAATTGTGTTTCATCCATTTTAATCTAAGAGATGATTCTAAAATGTGTTTGTGTAACTTGTCCTCAAGTTACATGAAAGTCACATTAAAGTTTCTTAAAACTCATAAAAATTGGCAAAGGTTACAAAATGAAGAGTCTTGCCTTCATTGAATGGTTTTATGACTCCATAACTTGTCCTCAAGTTATGGAGGTTCAAGAGTCACTTCATTAAGTAATAAAATGTGTAACCTTAATTAGTTCCATAAGTTACAAAAATAAAGAAAAGTTACATTCTTTTATTAGTTTAAAGTCTTTCATAACTTGTCCTCAAGTTATGGAACTTGAAGAGTTTTTTAATTAAAACTACTTTAAACACATAAGTTATGGAATTAATCAGTTTTGAATATTTTCAAAACTTGCCCTCAAGTTTTGGAATATGTAAAGTTTCCCTCAAGAATACTTTAACTCCAAGTTAAGCCCTTAGAGTTTTAAAAGTTAAAATTCAACCCTTATACTTTATAATATTATAAGTTAATAATATATATATTTATGTATAAGAGCAAGTCAGTCTTACCATTAGTAGGCCTCATTCACGAAGTCGGTCTATAAGGGGGGTATAAGGTTGTTGCCTATAAAATGGCAGCTTAATGGGTGTCCACTCTCACCCACCGCTTCCTTGACTGGTGGAGGGTCGTTAGCCGAACAGGTAGGACAAGGACTATAATTCTCCCTTCATTAAAAGTATTAATGATAAATACTAAGTAACTAAACACTTATTAATTCCCAATCTTAGTTACTTAGGAAAATGTGAATAAGGTGCTAATCCATGAAATTACACTTTGCACTTTGTTTAAAACGTTAGTGGAGCGTGTGCGGTTAACCGACACTCTAACCTGGGTTTAACAAGGTAGGCAAATGGTAACTTAATATTTATCATAGTATCGGTGGAGCGTGTGTGGTTAACCGGCACATCGATTGAGGGGTAAATATTAAGGGTACCAATATTTGCATGGTTATTCACACCTTGTTTTGTGATCCTCGGCATCCCAGTCACAAAACCTGAAGGGCACACTCGAGATTGAAACATGTCATTGAACAGTTCAATGAATCTCAAAAGATCTAGGAGTTTCAAAGCCAAGTAAAACCTAATTAAATTATTTCGTTTTCATGGTGGAAATTGGTGAATCGTCATTCACCTACCTTCAAATATTTTATAGCTTGGATAACGGCATCCCTCTTCCAAGTTATAAAATAGTTTGTTGGGTCCTAGCCTTAATATTTCATATTGGGTGTTATATTAAGGACTTTAAATCAACTATCTTGAATATCTCCCAAAAGATGTCTAGCTCAGACATCTATGATCTTCCCAAATCTCTTGGAACTTCACTTCCTCCACCTCCTCCAATTGTTCTCCCTAACCCACAAGTTCAAGGTCACTCAAGCCCTATTGGCAAGCAAGGTCTATGTGTGATCGCATCTTGGAGATGAAGTCACATATTGACAAGCCGGGAGAGTTGGGTGTCAAAGTCTTGAGAAAGTTGGATGTTCAATCACTTTCTAAGTCACATAGTTAGTTCCTTATGGACTACCATGTAAAGGACTATGACATGACCCTTAATGATCTAATCTATTTGCTTGGTGCTGCTGAATCAGCAATGATTTGGAACGATAGTAAAGCAAATTTGATTAGAAGATCAACTTCCCAAAACTTTATGGACAGTGACAATGGTGAAACTGGAAATCCAGAAAGAACATTCTCTTCCAATGGAAAGGGATTGGCCATAGTTAACCCCGGTT